TAATATTGCAAACAAAAGGTGACAAGGTAACATACTAATATGAACAGACACAAAATCAATAGGAATTTCTATTTAGGTAGGAAATCAATAGGAATTTCAAGGTAGGAAAAAAGGAAATTACTTACCTTTAATTTGAGCTCTCTTCAAGTCTGGTTCTCCATAGATGGGTGGTAGGGGCTGGTGGGGCTGGGGCAGCAGGAGTCCCCTGGAGATGATGGCAGGGACAGCTCCCCAGCTGCACCGGGGCCACGTGTCACCCCACTGAGGCCCCTGCCCTGCCCCACACAGGTAGAGGTGGGCCCGTGGCCCAAACCAACCCATCAGTCCTTGGCATCTCTGCTTGGAGCAGGACAGGGCTCTGCCAAGCCAGTGGGCACGGAGGGGACAGGTTCTGCACAGACCCCTCGGGCACCAAGAAGGGAGCAAAGGGAGCACCCCCAGGGACCGGGGCCAGGGGCCCGAGCAGGGGCAGCAGCAACTCAGAGCTTCAGTTTCCACTGTCCTCATCCAGCAGCAACACCACTTGCAGTGTTTGCAAAACAGGCCGTTCTTGGGAAGAAGAAGTCAGTGCAAGGTGCCTGTGATGTGGCAGCTCAGCCCTTACCCCACAGGACAATCATGCAAATGGGCTCACTGGTCCGTGCAGAGCTCTCCTGAGTCCAGCACGCCTTGGCCGCGGCTCCCGGCTCTGGCTGCGCGGTGGTCTCAGAAAGATGAGGACCTCACTTTGAGCCCCTTTGAATCAAAAGATGTTATGAAAGTGAGAGATTACTATTTTGTTAAAAGCAGAGCTAGCTGCACCTCAAGCTCTGCCCCTTCACTTACTTAAAATTAAAAGACTTCTAGAAGTAAGTATTAGTATTCCACTGACAATCCCCAAATCACCTCCTGATGTGGTTGAAGGTGGAAACAATTTTAAGCTGCCGTTTCCAGCTAGATTTGAATGTAGCAGCAAAGCCCAGCTTACCAGCATTTTGAATTTCATTCATTCGTGCTAAAATGGTCTGATGCATTTTAATTTACACAGAATTGGAGGGAAGCATGAGCTTTGGTAAAAAGTGGGCAAGATGGGCCTTTGCCAGGCAACCGCAGGGCCTGAAATGCAGATGTCTGTGGCTGTAGAGGCAGAGGGCAGCACACCCCAGCTCCAACTCGGTGCCTTTGGCTGCCATAAGTTTTGTTGTGGGATCCAAAGGTGCCTTTCTCCTCCTCCCAGCTGGGATCAGGCTCCACGTGGCCGGGCAGGGCCTCCTTGGCAGCCCAGCCCACCACAGTGAGAGCAGAATGAGGGCAAAGTCCATCTGGTCCTGGCTATTAATCCTGGGTTGTGTGTCCACTTTTCTGCCATCATGGGCTCTTTGAAATGCACATTAACCCCAGGTATAACAGCACTGATTGGAATAATCAGCAAGGGGAGATATTTTCAACAGAATATGAACAAAAAAGGGAAAATAACCGTGTACAAAGGATTTTCTTGGCAGTTCTCTTGTCCCTTTTGCCAAAAGTCATACGATGCTCTGTGCCACCATGGAGGTGTTGGAGACCTCCTGAGAGGATGGTGTCTGGCAAAGGGAAAGAAGCAGTGGTCGAGTGCAGGTTTGCAGCACAGCCTGGCAGTGTCCCAGCTTGGACCTCTGTGAAGAACAGCAACAAATCAGCTCCACTTGCTGAGGACACGAAATTGAGGTGAGTGCTGAATGAGCTTGCAACAGCACAACAAAAATCCAAAGGATTTTATCATCTTTGTAGCAGAAGGGACATATGGTAAATAAAATTTAATGTTGCCAAATGGGGAGAGATGCAAAATGGCCTAAGAACCATAAAGCAAAGAGCAGCATGAATGGAGGGGAACTGGTGCAAGAGGGAGGATACTGAAGATAAGGAAAGAACTGAAGTCATTACAAAAGCATTGAATGCATCCGTGGATATTTACCCTGGTTGCAAAATAGCCCCAGCCCTGGCAGAGCCACCTGGTCCAGTGCCACAGGGAGACTGGCTCCTGCAGGCACTGATAGCTCCTGTCCCTTTGTCTCTCTCCCTCATTTGGTTCTTGGAGCACTGTTCTCTCCTAACACCCCTCCCTGGGAACTGGAAGAGCTGATCTAACGTGTCATCTCCTCCGTTAAGACAGGTCAGAGTGAATGGCTCTCTCTGTGAGACAGTCCCCTGTACCAAGGTCAGGACTTTCTCCAGATTTCATGGTTTTAGTCTGGACTTTCCATTCCTCTCTTCTGGCTCCTTAACATGACCCAGTCCTTAAGTCCTTTGTGCTCCTGGGGCAGCAAGGCCACTTCTGAGCCTGAATTGTGCTGGGATTCAGAGGCAGGCACAAGGCTTATGGGCTTCTTTCACCTTTAATGAATAACACCTTTTTTTTTTCCCACCCTGAAAACTGCAGCCACCTTCACATTTCCCTGCAACACCATGCTTGTGCCTAATTAAGCTCTATTAATACTAATGAACAGACTCACCATAGCCCATCGCTTTAGTTCTTAATCTAATGCCATGTTGTGACACTTGTTCAATGATGATTTCAGACCGTGAATCAAATCATTGTGGTTCAGCCCATATGCCCAGCTCCCTTCTCACGTGGGAGCAGAGAGAAATCTAGGCCAGCAAATAGCAAAACTGGTTAAGGAGCTGCTAATTAAATAGAAAGTCAGACATGAGGCCAGGCTGTCCCAGTGCAGGGCAGCAGCTTGGGAAGGGGCAAAGGTCCTGTGTGTGGTGCTCCAGCCTGAGCAGACCCCAACTTCCAAAGCTCATGTGCAGAAGGGAAAAAGGCACAGAAAAGGAGCAAAGAGTGATACTGTGAGGGTAGACATCACTAATGAGGAAGCCCTAACAGTCCCTTCCTTCTTTCCCCCCCCCCCCCATCCCAGAGAGAAACCAAACCCATTTATTCTGGGAGGAGAGGCCAGCCCTGCACTGAGTAGGGGCCCTGGGCTGACTGGTTTGTGTAAGATTTGCTAATTCTGAAAAAAAACCCAACTCCCCTTCAATCCTGAAGGTTTCATGAAAACAAAAACGCTTTTTATTCCTGATGTGTTCCTATTACCTGTCACTTAGTTTTGCAGGGTGATACAGAATTTAATTCTCTCTGTACCTGCATTCCCAAACTTTTTGCATTCCTCGAGTACTGGTTTACTGTTGCAATGGCCCACAAGGCACTGTGTCTGGGCTGGGTGCTGGACTGGGTCCTTCATTCTGTGCTCTCTTTGATGCTGCTGAATTATTCAGGTGGGAGACTCCACTGAATACAAAGGTTCAAATAAGAAACATTAAAGTTAGAAACTCCTAGGTTTTCAGAAGTACTGGAAGGGAAAAAAAAATATTTCAGCCAGGTTGATTTATGTTTAAAATACCAAAATATACTGCTGCACTGATCGCTTTGAATTGTGCTGTCATGTTGGGTGGCAGAAAGAGATGAGATTTTTCAATATGTTAAAGTGTAAATGTTGTTAAAAACACAGTATTAGGAGATTAAGATTCTGACCCTTTACATTCCAATGATCGTAAAAATGAGCCTTGCAGCCCATTACAGAACAGCTTGCCGAGGCATCACACTGAATCACTGCACCACCAGGATGCTATAACCCTGCTCCAGCTTATTCATAGGCATCTGCTGATGTGGCATCTACATCAAACTGTGAATGCAAATGCAAGTCGGAGGGCTTGGATGTGCTTTAATAAACCCTGCCAGGTTCCCCCTCCTGATCTCAAAGCTCTGGGGGAGAAAACTGCTCGTGCAGCTGTGGGACGTGGCAGACACAGTGGCCACACAGTGACACCACAGTGACACCGAGTCACAGCGTGGCTTCATACCCCCACCACGGCTCCTCCTCTTCTTCACTCATCCCCAATTAACCTCACTGGGCACTGGCTGCAGGGAGCAGCCCGAATCTGGACAACTCCATGGAGAAAGCCCCATCGATTACAGTTAATTAGGCCTCACTTTTTAGAAGACCACAGCATTAGTAGCTGCTCTGCTGAACGTGGGGCTGTGTCCCCCTGTGCTGTCAGCGTGGGGACTGCTGGGGCCCTTGGGCACCGAGCCCGGGAAATGATCATTTCCATCTAAATATTTATATCATCAGGCTGCCAGATGGGGAAGAGATGCTCACCCAAGACTTTCCCTAGGCCCAGGACCTGCCTGTCCCCAGTGCCACTGCTGGACTCACCTCCCACCAGGAGAGCCAGGGACAGGCAGTGCCACTGGCTGCAGGCACGGCCTCTGATCCTTCCAGCAGCAGCAATTATTTAATGTAATGAGAAGAATCCAAGCACTGGAACTTTTCAGAGAGATTAAATGTTTTATGACAGACCAAAATTCTGTAATGAAAAAGGCTGATTTTGTGTATGGGAAGATACTTAGAAATAAAACGTGTACTGGTGCCTGGGAGGCTGAGGCAGATGAGGACTGGAGCCCTCTCCCAGCTCAACATGCCTCCCAGCCATCCTCCCCCAATATGACATCACTGCTCACCCATCCCTCCATCCCTATCAGCAGGACACAGACCTGGCAGAGGCACTGCAGGGACACAGGGATGGTAGGACAGCTCACCAGCCAGGCTGAACCCCCCGTGCCCTCCTTATGGACTGCCAGGGTTCAGCACAGAAACAAGCAGATTCTGGCTTTTATTTGAGGCAGGTTGGAAAGAGCAGTGAAGGTTATTGAAAACATAACGAAAGCTCCTCCTTATTTCATTAAATACAAATGTGAGTGGGGTCATCAGTTTTTATAGGGGCTCGTAAAGCATCCCTCTTGTTCAAATAGGCTATCAAATCAGCCAGGGCTCCTCTCCAGGAGGAGCGCAATAAACCCAGAGTTTCTTCTTTAAGAAACTCATCTCAACATCATAATAAAATAACCTTAAATAATACAGTATGGTACAGGTTTTCAATAACATAATTATAGGCTTCCATTTTTTTCCTGGCAGGTCATTTCTTGGTATCTATTTTGGATGCCACATTGCAGAGGAAGGGGGTAGGGATGGAAGCATGGGTGGATTTTGAAGCATGTCCTCAGGTCACAGCAGATCACCTTGCCTTTCCTTTGTGCAGCGCAGGCACCACAAGGCCTGGGGAAGCTGGGCAGAGCTGCAGCCTGTGGAGATGGGACAGCAGAAGTAAAGGTCAGCTCAGGTCATGCTTCCAAGCACCAGGTCCTGTGGCAAACTCTCCTCAGGGCAAGCTAGCCAGCACAGGATGGTCAAGATTTTAGCTATCTTCTGTCTGTGGAGGATGGAGGAGGAAAATCCACTGATGGGGCAAACATGGATGGGGCAGCAGAGGTTTCTATCATTCAAAGCCTTTACAGTCACCTGGCATAAAATCCCCCATATTTTTCCTTGCTTTCTTGATCACAGCACTCATTTAGAAAGGATTTTAGGTGGAAAAAATGCCTGGAATAAGATCTTTGTAAAATCAAAGGAGCTGTATTTATTACCCCAGGGTTCAGTCTAACTCTTGAGCAGGGAGGAGAGACAGTCACAAGGAGCATTCAAGCCCTTTCATATTCCCCACTGCCTGTCCATGGCATGAACTGAGCAGGAGAGCATCCTCACAGCTGATGTCCCCTGGAGCTCCCCACAGGCTCTTGCCAAGTGCCATGCTGGTTTTGTTGGGTGGATGTTGTTACCTACTCACAAACACTCCAACCATGCAAGATTTCCTCACGGATAAGGAGGGACCATCTTCTCTCTCTGCCCTGTGGTGCTTCTGTTTCAGCATGGCCAAAGGCACGTGGTGCACCTTGGAGCCACTGGGTTAATGGTCAGACTTGATGATCTTAAAGCTGTTTTCCAGCCAAAATGGTTCTGTGACTCTGTGATTGTCCCTTCATCCTCTCCTCTGGATGATGCAAAGCCTGGGGACTGCCCAGAGGGCACAGCATTCCCCTTCCTGCACCTCAGGACGGTGCAGCTCCTGCAGGAATGTGCACATTCTGCAGACAGATTGAAACCTTTAGTGGTGTATCTGTTTTCCTTTTTTTGTGCAATTGGTGGCTGACCCTCCTGTGCCATGGTCTGTCATTAGTCCCCAGGAAATGGATTGCTGGGCAGGACTGGGTGGGCTGGCCAAGGGCACTGCAAATGATGTTTATATTCCAGACCTGTCATGTAAAGGGATTTTAACCCTCTGCTTGTTTACCTAAGCTCTATCTCTCTTTTATTTGGAACAGCAGTCTGATTTTTAATGTGTGGGTGTCCACAGCATGTCACTGATTCCACTTGGGCATTCTTGCTTCAATTTAGAGAAGGTGTATTATTTTTTGCATGCTTACATTTGAAGCTTTATTCACAAATAATAATTAGCAGATGTTTGCAAATGCTTTAAGTCTGAGCTGCTTCAGGGCAACACACACAACAACCTCAAACCAGGGTGCTGTAACTGCAGAACCATCTCCTGTGCCCAAGTCATGTGCCGAAGCATATGCTCACACCCCATCCCACACACTCGTATAAAAAATCAATCCACGTACATCATCTGCACATGTTTGCAGATAATACAAAGTTGTGTTTAAAAAAAAAAGGAAGAAAGAAAAGCCTCAAGTGGCAGAGCAGTTAAGGAACTCCTAGGTGTTTTTAATAACATTGATCAGGCCAAATGAAAAAAGCCAGAGCAGTGGGAGACAGGAGCAGGCAGCAGATGCTGACATTCTATCACAGCAGACACATATTGACTAGCGGTCTGAACAAGTCACTCACTCATCAGCGCCCGGCCTGATTGAGTTGCCTGCAGCCAGTAAATGAGCCTTCCATCCACTGTGGGTCGAAATGAACTGCAATCTTTTCAGACCTCGTTGTTGGCCAAATGAGAGATTTAAAACCCCGGAGGACTCCAAATGAATTTACCAAGGAGCCACAGTGACTAACAAAGCTACAATACATCAGCGCGGGGGCAGTGGGTGTTACACTCGCTGCTGGGTGATCAGCACTGGGTATTACACCCTGATCAGCTGCTGAGCAATGCAGAGGTAACCAGATTAACCAACACAAGGTGTGTAAACCTTTCATGGGTTCTTTAAGGATTTAAAGATTTTTATGAGAAAACACTACAAGTTTCCCAGGGGAAATTTGCTGTTATTGATTTAATGTTTGCTTGCATGCTACCTGTCAATTTTCCAAGAGCTTCAGCAACAAAATTCGTATTTGATATTTGACAGATCTCTTCCTGGTTTGCATGAGCACAGCAACAGAGTGCTTTCTAAAGGAGCTCCTTTCGAATAAGAAAGAGAGGGAAGGGTGCCTCCTGCACACACACTTTTAACCAAGGCCTGATCTCAGCCTAAAACGAATTCAGGACTGACTACAAGCTCCAAACACTACAGGGGATGGCTAAGGATAGATCAGTCTGGCTGGATTTGTCAGGCAAATGGGAGTATTCCAGTCTTTTCTGGGGACTGGTTGATGGAGCATTCCTCATCCACGAACATGTATGTGTATGTGAACACGCTGAATGTGGTCATGATGGAAGAGGGATTTCATTGACTCTTCCTCCTGACTCAGATTAGGAAGTTCATGTTTCTCAGGTCCATTTGGGTATGCTGGAAGTGTGTTTGGTGTACTGAGACCAGGGATATGAAGGCAGCACACAACACCATTGGGCTCAACCAAAGCCATGAGAGAACCTCCAAAGAGTCAAATGTTGAGCTTATGTGAATCCAGCACAAGGTCATGGAGAGTAGGAATGAAGAAAGGGGCCCTTCCTCCATGTTCCCTGCAGGTACAAGGAGGGGTTTCTCGGGGTTTCTCTGGTTTGAAGAACCCAGTGTTTCTGGGAGGAAGGCAGAGCCCTCCTCTTCCAGCACCTGCCCTCTGCAGCCCAGTGCTGCTCCCCTAGGCAGTGACTGTTCCATTGCTAACAGTTCCATGATAACAAATTGTTCACTAGCTGGAGAGACAAATGCAATGCTCCTTCCCTCTCACAGCTAATTCCTCCCCCTGTTCAGATGCTGACTTGCTGCCTTCCTCACTCGAGCAGAGCTCTGTGTGCAATGATTCAGGCCAGGCTCCACTCCCTGCTCTCCCCAGGTACTCTCTCCCAATCAGTGCACCCCCAGCACCACATGGTTCTATTTGTGGCTTACTTTATTCCAGCTGAACGTAGTAAAATGGTTTGTCATCTCCATTTTTTTGCCGTAGTGTCCTGGAGGAATATGCTCCGGAATGCCTTCAGCAAGAGCCTCTAATCTGGAAGAGTCATTTCTCCCTCTGCCTCTCGCAGTACAGGAGCAATGCAGTGGCTGCTGGCTGGAAAATTAGCCCAGGGAACTCTCTCCTCTGTCTGTCTCTCACCTCATTAGACTAGTGAGAAAATGTAATTGTAAGTCTCTCAGGCTTTCCCCTCGCCGGCTGGTGGGGGATAGTGCTTCACAAGGGCTGGGGGAGGCAAAGCTGCACCCCAGCTGTTAGCACTGCACCTCAGCCCAGCTGCCACGTGGTGCCAACCACGAGCACAGTGCAGGTGGGTCCCCCTGTGCCCCACCAGGGCTGCCCCTCCTGCCCGGGTCAGCTGTCCCTGTGCCACCTCACATCCTTCAGCAGAGATCAGCCAAGGCAGGGGCAGATGGTGCTGGGCACCACAGGGCTGGGCTGAGCCCACCAGCAGGCAGAGACCACCACTTGCCCTGGGGGTCTTCACCTCTGAGCAGCGACAGTGTGGGGATGGCCACACTCTGCAGCCCTGTGGGGCACAGCACGCCTGGGTGTGGGATCTGCCGGGGAGAACGTGGAACGTGATGCATTGCCCGTGGTAGTCGTGGCTGGGCAGAGCCTTCTCCACGGGCAGGGGCTGCTGGTGCCACCAAGCTCCTCCAGGCACAGCCAGCACAGGGCTCACAGGGAAGCCAGCCCTTCAAACCTCCCATACCAGTCTGCAGCCCAGTCCAGCCTCCTCTGGTTGTTCCAACTGTGTGTGCTTTGGCTTGGCTGTCCCGCTCTGGATTGATTTCCCTGCCTGCTTTACCAGCCCTGGGTTTTCTCATTGCAAGCACCAAACTTTTGCTGGAAGATAAAACCACAGGTCTGAATGAAATGGAAAGTCTCAGCCAGCGAGTTCCAAAATAAAGAGGGGTGTTATTCACACCTGCTCCTGACACATACATGTATTGGTGTATGTTTGGTGAGGTTAACAAAGCTTCATACACAGAGGCTGGTTTTGGTGTAGGATGGGAAATGCTGAGGCTGAGTCCAACCAGCTCAGCAATAACGTCTGCCGTGTGTTTTAAGGCAGGAAGCAACGCCTCAGCTGAAATCACTTAAACAAAAAGATTGCAGTGAGGGGCATAATGCAAGAAAGTAATAAGGTTTAAAACAGGTCAGAGCCCTTTCCCTGCTCCACTGCTCCTGAGTGAGATGCATTATTTAATGGTCTTTGGTCACCGCTGATATACTGTTGATGAAATAGATGATTTTGTTCAAAAGAGCATTAGAGAAGAAATATACAATACTGCATTACACTCCAGCACAGTTCCCTCTCTGGTAAAAGCCGATAGATTGAAGGTTTTTCCTCTTGACAGCAAAAGCAAAGCAGTTGAAATGAAAAGTCTTATGAAATGGCAAATACAAATGGTAATAATGCCACCATATTCAAAATTAAATTGTTGTAATTTTAGTTTCTGAGCATGGCAAAGTAATACAATATTCAGCACAGGCTTGGAGAGCAAAACCCTTTGGCAATAATGATGGTGCCTCATGAGCTAACCAAACCATCTTTTATAAAAATGTGGAGTCTGATGGGTCTCTCCATCAGCCACAGGAATGTTGTGTTGTGGTACCCCAGACGTGGAGCGTGTGGGCTGCAGTGCTGTGCTCAGCCTAAGGAGGTCTCTCCTGAAAGGAAAAGACATTTTAACTGTCCAGATGTGTTGGATCAGAGATCCCACTGATGACAGTCTGCAGCCAGATCTCGGTGGGATCAAGACAGAAGACCTGCCTTGCCCTTTGTGCTTGGCCTGGTTATTTCCAGGCGTGGCTGCAGGAGTTTGGTGTGGTGCTGGTGGCAAAGGGCACTGCTGGCACCCCTGGGCAAAGGGCACTGCTGGTGAGGCCCGCAGGCAATCAGGGCTGAACAGACACACATCCTCCCTCTGCCTGCTCGTGAGTTTGCTGCACAAGGAGCCTCCCTGTTCCTGTAGCAAGTGGGTGAGTGTCTGCCTCTCCCACTCCTCCTGCCTCTCCAAGCCCTGCAAATAGCTTTGGGTATTGAATCTGCGGATTGCAACTGCTCCATGTTTGAATAGCCTGCTGACCTTTCCCAGTAATGCCTCTTTTATAACCTTCATCTTCTGCGGGGGTTCACGCCATCCCTGTACTTACAGACCAGGAATCCAATGTGTAATGATAACATGGAGCCAGGCTCTCCAGCCATGCAATTATTCTCCCTGCATCCCTGTTTGCACTGTGACTTTCATCGCGGTTAAATGCTGCTATTTTCTTTTGCCAGGCCCTGGGAGAGACTCGAGTTTGCCCTCGACAGGTTCAAGTCTCTTCTGCCAACAGAGGGATATTTCGATGCATATAAATGGTGTGTCTGTCTGAGCTCAGTGTGGGGCTGGGACCAGCTCGCTGTGGGAGCTGCCAGGGGACAGGAGGGGGACAGGAGGGGGTGGGGGGCACAGCGGCCCCTTTGGGGTCTGCAGGGCACAGGGGCCCTGGGGAGCAGCAGGCATTGCAGGGCAGCATCTGGAAGCTTGCCTGGGAAATTCTGGAGTGACCCCATGGGCAGAGGGGGCACCCTGAAACAGGACTGACCCCATCTCGCCCTCTCTGTCGCTGTATCCCCAGATGAAGCCTCAGTAAAATCAGTGGGGATGTGACCAGCACACGCAGCTGGGCCTGCCCTGTGCCAGCAGGGTGGGGGCTGGCGGTGGAAGCCCCTTGGGCGGGTGCTCCCCACGCTGAGCTCCCGGGCAGCCGTGCCAGCCATCCATTACACAGTAATGGGGGGAATGCAGCAAAAACGGCAGTGAGGGAAAGGAATACATCACTGGTAATTATCTCTAACCAGAAATCTCCTCCACTGCTCCAAGCCCCATCATTCCAACCCTATTCTAATAAAGTGACACCTTTTTAATTATGGTAAGGACAAATCTGAAATTCCAGTAAGTAATTAGCAGGCATAATTTGCCATCTCTGACACAATGTGACTTTATCACAGGCTACCTCAGTGCAAGGCAGGAGTGCAAGGCTGCTGTATATTCTGTTTTAATTTTAGAGAAACCCAAACTGTCCATTTATTTTTATTACAATGTATTTCTCGAGTAGTTGAGTGGACAGCACTGAGAGTGCTCCGAGAGTGCAAATAAACAGCAGCAGCCTTGGAATGTTAAATTTAAGGGTTGTTTTCAAGAACAGGACACTTAATTTAACAATAAACTATGTTTTTATGTACCTCCATGATACCCACTGTTATCGAGAGCACAAGCTGGCCGGGCCCATTCCGAGGTGTGCAGGACCCACTGAGCCATTCAGCCTGGTGTATTTTCAGTGAAAAGGAAGTGCCCATCAAACTGGAAAACACTTTCACATTGCAATCCAATTATTTATTTGCCCTTCCAAAGGCTGCTTCCAGTGTTATTGTCTTCCTCTGTTCTCCCCTGCTATTTGCATGTGTGCTCTAAGGGTGGTGCTTGGTTCTGCTAATGGGCAGAATATTAAATCCTGCAAACCATAGCTAAGAGAGATTTTTCTCAAAGAATCACAACATTTTGCGGAGTTGATACACAGTGTGGCAAGGTTCCTGGTTTCCCTGTGACTCCTGGGGCTAATATTCTTACAGCTAATATATTTTTGAGAAATGTATACTCTGGGCTAAATCATGAATATTTTAAGTTTGAGCTCTGCTGTCCAGTTGGGATTAGTCAGAAAAACTGGCTTTGTTTCTCCTTGATGAGAGGGCAAGTGCTCTGAACCTGAGTGTTTCTTTGTGAATAAAGGATTTAAGGTCTGATGTACCAGGACATGCAAAATAGACTCAGTTGTTGGGGTGCCCTTCTGTGAATGGCCCAGCACAAATCCCCACCTTCCTTTGAGAGCTGCAGCAGCTGGGACAGCACCAACAATTCAGGAAGACAGAAGCAAAACCAGTACCTCTGTCCCAGCAAGTGGGAATGCCAGAGGGGACAGTCGGGAGCACACCTGGGACCGACACAGCGCGAGGTGGGCAAACCTGGCCAGGCTTCACACACGACTGAGCCTTGGAATTGAGCACCTCATACAGAGTCAGTCAAATAACTATAGAGCAGTGCAGTGAGTGTGGCAGGAAAGGAGCTCTGAGGTCAGCTGATGGTGAGCAGAAGGGTTCTGTGGTCAGGGCAGATGTGCTGTGCCACCCACTGCACACAGGCACAGCCATGGCCAGTAATGCTCTGCTGCTCCACTACTGTGAGTATCCATCAAGATCCAGCAAGAAGAGCCACCTTGGTCTGGCGACATCTGTTTGCATTACTTGTAAATTCAGGACAAAACATCCCTCATAAATAATTAAGTCATCAGGGTACACTCCCATCAAGAGTGAATTGTCCCGCAGTGCGGCCCCAGAGGACAGGCTGCTCTGAGGGCAAGGGGCCCCTGGCCAGGGAGATACCCCAGGAGCAGCAGCATTGTTGGGGCATCCCAGGGTGATCCCAGGGGCAGGCAGAGTGCAGCTGTGCCCTGGCACTGCTGTGGGCTGTGCCCACACCGGGCTCTCCCCCATCATCAAGACACATTGGGTGTTTCTCATGGATAGTCCTTCATTCAGCTAATAAGGATTTTAGCAGTATCCCAAAAACCTCCAAATCCCAGGCTCCCTCTCAGGAAGTGGGAATGTCAGGAGCTTTGCAGAGCAGAGGAGCCTGTGCCAGTCCTACCCGTGGTCTGGGCTGGGTTTTGCCGTGGTGCTGCTGTAGGTGTGTGTTGGGTTCCTGTGCCCTGGTGCCAGGGCCACAACAGAATCTGAACTTTTATTTTGCACTGTGCAGCCCCTCGGTCCCCTCACGGTCCCCCTGTGCACGTGGGGCTCCAGATTTGTCTTTTCTTGTCTGCATTAGTGAGAGGGAGATGCATTAATAAGGCGGGGAAGCAGGGGCGGTGGCAGCCCTCGCTCTGCTTGAGGAGGAGTGATTGCTGTGCGGAGGGCTGGGAGGCAGGAGGATATAACCCTAATGTCTGCACCTCAGGACACGCCATTAAAAAGGCATCTGCACTGACACAGATCTGTTGTTTATCAATACCCTGACAAGCATTTCCCCTGCAGCACGGGAACACCTACCCGACACGGCGGATAACC